CAAGTCCTCCTGTTCCTACAATGCATGATCCATTTGCACGGGCACCATCTCCGTATCACACAGCGCCAGTCCAGCAGTCGCCGTTCCATCCTATGCCAGTGCAACAACATCCTCACGTGACTCCGGGGGTGTATCACACGCCGTCGCCATACCAGCCAACGCCACCGTCGCAGTATCCACATTCACCGTACCCACACCCAACATTCGTGCCTGACGGAATGGGTGGATACTTAGTTGTAAATACAATCTTTCAACTGCACAAGAGAAGGCCAGAAATGTTCACTCTTTGAATCAAGGGTGTCAACCATGTGGTCCAAAAAGTGAAACAGCCCAAGGCGGCACTTGACTCCCTTCCCAAGAGTTGCATCCCAAATTGGACTCCATGCGGTATGGTGTTGGTTGTCAATACCAATACATTCTTCAATCGAGGCACTGCTTGTGTCAACCCATGGGATACATCACTCAACTTTGTCAACTTTTTTGTTGGAACAGCGTAGATGCCACCAATTTTGACAGTTCTTCCATCGTTGAAATCTGCAAAGCACTTCATGCCAATGGATTTCTTGTCTCTATATGCCCTTGTCGCGGCAAAGGTGTGATCAAAAGCTGCTGTATCACCGCATTCAAATCTAACAGACCAAATCTCTTCAGTGTAGCGCAAGACATTTGAATAACTGTAGGGTTGTGGTGAAGAATATTCTGCCTGTTGGTAGAGCCGCTGAATGTTGTCGCCATTAGGCGGCCACTTGTTATTCATGTAGCTGTAGAAGTCTGGAAAAGGTTGACTTGGTTTCTGGCTCAAGTAAGTTCTCGCCTTTTCCAGATATCTATTTGCCATAGAATAAACCAGGAAAAGACTACACTGCTTGCCATTTGCATAGGTCTTGAGGATGTGCTCAAAAAAAGCAATTCCATTTTTGTGGAGGTGAAATCCGCCTGCACTTGTGGCATACCTTGGTGGAACAGGGTAGGCTGCAGCAACATGAGCTGGCAGCATTTGTAGCAGTCGACCTTTGTTTGCATCAACTAGTTCCTTGCAAGAAAGACATGTATATTTCATGATAACCGCCCATGTAATGGCGCCATCATGTCTCCAAATTGGAAATAGACTTCCTGGATTCTTTTTGAAATTCCTTTGATTATGGACCAAGGAATCGTGGGAGCACTTTGGACATGGCAAACGGAGGTTCGGAAAAACAAGCTGCCAGTCAACATGTAGGATTTTGTCGTCTGAAAGGCAATGATAGGTCGGGCTTGGACTGTAGCTTGTGTCTTGTGGAAATATAAAGGATGTACTCCCAAGCGGAAAGTATGCGTTGTATGCTGTCATTGCAGTAAAAAACCTTTAGTTTGCGGAAGGACAGAGTCAGCAGACTGGGGGCGCCGGTGCTCAAACTGAGAAAGAATGAGATCAGTTGCAATAATCATTCTTGGTGGTGCTTGTCGACCCAAGGCCCAAGATGGCTTTTGGTTGCGCTCCAACTCATCCATTCTTTTGCCAATGCTCCGCTTCATATCTGTTACAAAGTTGCTGTCAATACCCATTGAATTGAGTTGTTTTGTATTGTAGCCCACACTTCCAGCAATAATGTTGATTGGTGGCGCTTTCTTTTTCCTCTGAGGTACAGCAGATGCAGCAGATGCAGCAGATGCAGCAGATGCAGCAGATGCAGCAGATGCAGCAGATGCAGCAGATACAGCAGTGTAGTCCAACAAGGTGTTGGATTGTTGCGTTGCTTTATTCTTGTTTTTTCTCTTTGTCCTCTCCTCACAGAGATCATGATGCCCCCCCATGATATTTTTTTTAACACCGCTGATCCAAATTGGCTGATATGGCATCGTTTGCAATGGAATGTAGGAGGGAAAGGAAGCAATGGAATGTAGGAGGAAAAGGAAGGCTCCCTCCAACTTGCACTCACAAAAATTGCTGCTTCGGGCGCTTGATCTTGGTGCCTCTTTTCTTTGCAGCTTTGATGCTGCCATTGCAGTTTTGTGATTGAATTCCCATATCGGCATGTGGAGGAAAGTATCCAACATAAAACTCAAAACTCAAAAATAAAAAACTAAAAGGTAGAAAATATTTTTCCTCACTCTTCTCCAAAACAAAACTGTACCAGTCCTACGCGTTTTGTATGTACAGGAAAACAGTTGTTGTCGTTGAAACAGGAATTAAATTTAAGCCAACATGAAGGATAGCATCATCAACCCGCCGGAGAAGGACCCGAATTCGATCATGACTGTAGCTGACCAAGGTCAGGGAGGTCTCGAGGAAAAAACCCGATCAAATTCGACCACTCAATCGTCGATTGCTCTGACAAAGGACAACCCTGCCATCACAACTCCCAAGCACATCAGCAAGCGAAACCCTTCAAAAACCGCCAAGGATGGCGCAATGAAAGGTCGCTCGCTACTCCCATCTGAAGTTGCCCAAGGTCAGTTTGGCCTCTCGGCCAAAGCTCGATCGAACACCAGTCCTTTGTCGATCGATCTCACCAAGGATAATCCTGATCCCACGATTACCAAGAGTCAACGCAAGCAACCCCCCCCCCTTCCAAAACCGCCGAGGATGGCGCAGTGCAAGGACGGCCGCTCGTTGCCTACAACAAGAACCTCAAGGTGTCCAAGTTCCACAGGCTCTACAAGAAGGCGTGGAGGAAAGAGGTTTTCGG